GCAGGACTTCATACAAGCAACCACCAAGGGAGCCCAACGAACACACAACATATCCAATGGGATAATCCACAACAAGGGCCTAGTCTAGATAGGTTACCGAACGACAAAACTGGTGGACAGTATTAGCAATAGGGGAAATACCCCATGTATTAATATGACATTACTAGACGTTAACTTAGATGCATCAGCATCGCCCCCTCTGTAGTTTCCATTTTGTTTAATGCAATTATCTTTCCAACCAAAAAAAAAAAGGAAACGTGCAAAGAACAGAAAATTGACAGTGATTCAAATAGATCGAAAGAAAAATCGCTCTCCTGATATATAGATAAATTAGTAAATTTTTCCGCGCTTCGCGCGGTTATATTAACAATATAAGGTGTTTTTTAATAAGTGAATAGTAAAAATAATGCTATCGATTTAGTCACTTTTTTTTAACGAAAATCATTTATATCTAATATTTTTAATCTACTTCTTTGCAACAAATTTTACAGAATTTTAGCTAAAATGGAACGGTTATTTACACGTGATTTTGACTCTCTCACAATTATTTTCGTAGATTCAGTATGTATTTTTTAAAATTATTTTCACGATCTTAGAAAATTTATAAATGAAACGCAAAAAAGAGTTTCTCACTTGATCTTTCTCATTACTTTTTACATTTTTGAAATCCCTTTTTCCCTTTTTGTTATTTTTTCTTGAAAATGTACCCTTCTTTTTCTTATCGTTTTCTTCTCGTTAATTTCCTTATATGTAATTCTACCCCTCCCTTATATATACTCATTCATATATTTACCTAATAAATGAAGGGAGGAAGAATACTTTCTTTTTTTCTTTAACCTAAACTGATCAATATCAAATAAACAGTGTAAAAGACATACGAGATACAATTCTTTCTTTTTTGGGTAACTAAGAGAGATACAATTTGTAAAGTTATGACCATAAGAACAGCGACATAACTACCATAACAAATTTGAATGGCCAATTGATCATTCATATCACCAAGTACAACAACCTCAAGGACATACACAATTATAATAATGAGAAAATAATTGGAGGAAAGAAATATAAGAATGAGGTATTTTTTAATATTGAATGGATGATAATGAGAAAAGAGACGAACATACAAATGAAGACTAAAAAATTTACACTTACACTTCGTAGATAAGTCAATGCACCCCTAACAAAGTGAAAACAACTGTATTTATATGCCATTGAAACTATCTTCAAATTTGTAGGATAAAGTTTAAGAAAACGAAAATAAGATGCAGAGCTCATTTTGTGTAATGTACATATGTATTAGCTTACTTCCTTTTATACATGTATTTTGATATATAACTTTGTGTGGAACATTGTGTATTGAAGAAAGAAAATCGATTTTTATATGCTTCTTCATTTTCCTTCTTCACTTGAAAAGATAACGTTGTCATGCGAAAAAGTAAGAAAAGAAATTATATTCAATAGGGTGATGATAGTTGAAATAATAGATAATAATAGACATGAAAATTAGCCAAACAAAAATACGATGCCGTGAAAATCCACCAAATTCAGGTGAAATTTTTTCTACATGAACATTTTCATTTTTTTATTCGTTTGAAGAAAACAAAAGAAATAAAAGAAGAAAAAGATAGAAAGGAGAGAAGACACCTAACACGTCAACTTTGTTCCTTCCCAACTCAGAAGTATCCAAACCCTGCTTCCATTTCCCTATCTTCCTTATTAAGATTTTCATTGTCGCTGGCCTTTCTCTCCCCTATCTGGAAACCCATGTTCTTGTTTATGCGTAGGAATAACTGGAAGATCGAGTTTTATAGTGTAGTTTCAACCTCTAAGAAGCTGTTAAGTCATTTTGTATACTTAATGCCCTTTTAAATATAATGAATCCGTTTTACAAACTCTTAGTTACCTCTTTCAATTATTTCTCAACAGTTACTATAAGGAAGACTTTAAAGAGAAGGTGAAAATTAACAAATTAAATAGAGTGAAGTAGAGGATTGATGGAGGAAAAATTCAAAAAAAGGAGAAAAAAGAAAAATGCAATTGCTGGCCATAGAGAGGTGCCACATCACCTTTTCTATGCCCAACTTTATATTTATATATAGATAGGATCATGACTCTGCAATGTATTTCTCTCTTAGTTACTTGTTTATTGAAACAATTACGGTGAAAAAAAACAATATAAATAACATTGTGAAAGTAAAGTGCCCATAAATCCTTTTCTTCTATAAGTGATGTTTTTGGCTCCAATAATGAATAGGAATTATATTGTCATTGTGTACGTGTAGAATCGGGGATAAAGTCACCCCCAATTTTCCGATGAAGAAAATAGGGGCAACATGATTCGACGCCGGCTTGGGTAAGGCCGAGGGTGCCTGTAGATCGGAGCCCGGGGGTGGATGAATGATGCATCGAGCATGGCAAAACATGGGAAGAATCGGGGCTCGAGCGTAATGAAAAATCGAGGTTAAAGGGAAGACGGTTAAAGAGGACAAACGAGAAACCGAAATATCCGCCATCAGCCAGATATTACGCGCGATCACGCCCGATATTAACTGTGGATCGTGTTTTCTTGGGAAAAAAGGAAGAAAAGAATTTTGACCCTATTTAGGCCTGTATTGGGTTAAAACTCCTCTATTATATAAAGGAGAGAACCTTTTCATATTATGGATCATTGTTGGCATGCATATCAAAGAAATAAAGTTTACTTTTATCTTTTAGCAATTGTTCAGTGTTCATCAGCTGTTCATCCATTCAGTTGCAACCGAGTTCCATCTCGTGAGCTCGATTGGAACCGGTTTCTAGTGTTCAAACCCAATGCCAAGCTTAATTATTTCATCGCATTTGGTTTGATCACTTTTCTTTCTTTTAATTCAATCACTTGTTGTTCTTTGACCATTTGTGTTAGATTAAAACCATGTGTCCTTTAAACCGTATACAAATTTAATTATTAATTATTTTAAGGGTAAACAATTTGGCGTCAATCGTGGGGCTAAGGATAATAGTGGTAATTTGATACGAATCTTTATAACACACTATATTTTTGCGCTTGCTCTTTGAAGATTGATTTCAGGATTATTCAACATGTCAAACACAATCTGCTCACTTGAATGTTGATGCCGAGTCCGGCCACCACGGTGAAAATAATAACGCGGTACCAAGCAACGGGATGGCCCCAGTCGACCCAAATGGCGTTCTAATCGCTGACCTAGTCGATGATAATGCATAGGTTGCTATCAGCATCAACCTACCAACTGATCCCCGAAATAGCATTCACGGGGCACCTCGGTCGTCGGCTCACGAGGCGCCCGAATGGGGAGGTGATGGAGTTAGTTTACGTTTCATTTTTGAGATTTTACAAGCTCAGCAGCTTGCAATGGCACAATTGCAGAATTAAAATCACACACACAACGCAGCCGAACCCGAACGGGTTGGAGAGTACTCGAAGGGAGGAACAAATTGTCACAAGAACCAATAAATCTGAACCCGGAAAAACTTCAGAGGTGATGAAAATGCTCGAAGCACTGACAAAACGAGTGGAATCTGGAGAGAAGAAGATAGAGGCAAACGATAAGAAGGTGGAAACTTACAATTTGAGGGTCGATCAGATCCCGGGAGCGCCCCCGATATTGAAGGGCCGGATTCCAAAAGGTTTATTCTGAAACCTTTCCGCCTGAACACGACACCAAAACCAATTCCAAAAAGGTTTCACATTCCCGATATTCCCAAATACAACAGGACCACAGATCCAAACGGGCATGTGACCTCCTACACGTGTGCAATAAAAGGCAACGACCTCGAGGATGACGAGATCGAATCGGTGTTGCTGAAAAAATTTGGGGAAACCTTATCAAAGGGAGCAATGATACGGTACCATAACTTACCTCCAAATTCTATTGATTCGTTTGCTATGCTTACAGATGCCTTTGTTAAAGCCCAAGCCGGTGCTATCAAAGTTGAGATGAGGAAGTCGGACCTGTTTGAAGTCAAGGAAAGGGGGAACGAGATGCTTAGGGAATTCGTGTCAAGATTCCAAATGGAACGGATGGACCTGCCTCCAGTTACAGATGATTAGGCCGTTCATACATTCACTTAGGACTCAACCCTTGAAGTTCGGTTACTTCTCAACAATAGAAGCAAAACTTAATAGAGTACCCAGCGGTTACCTGGGCCGATGTCCACAATAGATACTAGTCAAAGATCAGAGTCGATAAAGACCAAGTAGGGGCTCCCTCGGGGTCAGTTTATCCCAATAGAGCAAACGACAAGCCTAAAAGAATAATGTATCAGGAGTCGAGGCCTCCCCGAGACCGATACGAGCCTTACAACTTAGATAGAAGGGGAAAGGAACCCAATTGCCATCCGATCAGGAACGATAGAAGAAATGATCGGGGTCCAAGCAATCAAGGGTTGGTGAATAGATATGGTTTCGACAGGTCACCCGGGGTCAGAGATGCCCCAAGACTATCAGAATATAAATTCAATGTGGATGCACCGGGTATAGTGTCAGTCATCGGTCGCATCAAGGAGACCAAGTAGCCAAGGCCGCTCTAGTCCGATCCCGCATAGAGGGATCACAATTTGATATGTAAACATCATGGTACTCATGATCATAGAATCAAGGATTGTCGATAGTTAAGGGAAGAAGTGGCACGTCTGTTCAACAATGGACATCTTCAGGAATTCTTAAGTGAGCGGGCCAAGAACCACTTTGAAAACAGGGACGCAAACAAGCAGATCGAACAGGAAGAACATCAACATGTGATTAACATGATTATCGGATGAGTAGATGTTCCACAAGGACCAATGATAAAACACACCAAAATATCTATCACCGAAGAAAAAAAAACTCGAGATTATGTCTCGGAGGGAGAAATCTCATTTAGTGACGAAGGCGCTGAGGGAATCATTCAACCTCACAATGATGCACTGGTAATATCTGTACTTATTAATAAATCTTCAGTTAAGCGTGTTATTGAGCCAGGTAGCTCGGCCAACATCATCCGATGGAGAGTCGTGGAACAACTGGAGCTATTGGATTAGATCGTACCAGTAGTTCAAATACTAAACGGGTTCAATATGGCATGCGAGACACGAAGGGTGAAATCACCCTACCGGCCAACACAGCCGGAACCACCCAAGAGATTAAGTTCTATGTAATCGAGGGAGATACGAGATACAATGCCTTATTTGGGAGACCGTGGGTCCACAACATGAGGGCAGTATCGTCGACCTTGCATCAAGCGTTGAAGTTTCCAACCCTAGGTGGAATCAAAATGGTCTACGGGGAACAACCGGTCACAAAGGATATGTTCGCTATCGAGGAAGTGATCCCGGTGCCCGCAATCACGACATCAAAAAGTGAGGGACTGGTCGAAGAGAAAGGCACCAAATAGCAATCATTTGTGTCGACCCCGACTGGGCCAGAAAAATATAAGGAACGCCCAACAGATGAGGAAGATGACTTCGAGGTCCCTAGATCCTTCATAACACTTGATGATATCGGTGCCACCAAGTCAATAATCGAGGAACTGGAATAGGTCATATTGATCGAGCACCTGCCAGCCAGAAAGGTATACATGGGCACGAGATTAACCCCCAGCTCAGAAAAAACTCATTAATTTTCTTAAAGCTAATGCCGATTTGTTGCCTGGTCCCACTTAGACATGACAAGAATCCCACCAGAGATAACTACTCAGAAATTGATCTTGGATCCAAACTTCCACCCGATCAAACAGAAGATGAGGCCACAGTCCGAAGTCAAGCACGCATTCATCAAAGACGAGGTATCTAAACTCTTAAAAATAAGTTCCACTCGGGAGGTCATATACCCAGATTGGCTAGCTAATGTAGTCGTCGTACCTACAAAAGAAAACAAGCTTAGAATGTGTGTAGATTATAAGGACTTGAATAAAGCATACCCAAAGGGCTCGTTCCCTTTGCCTAACATTGACCGAATGATCGATGCATCAGCTGGGAACGAGACGCTGAGCTTTCTCGATGCCTATTCCAGGTTCAACTAAAACGGATGGACCCGAGCGACCAAGAGAAAACTCTTTCATTACTAGTTTCGGCACTTACTGTTATAACGTGATGCCATTTGAATTAAAACATGTCGGTGCCACGTACCAACGACTAGTTAACCGGATGGTCGAAGAACATATAGGGAAATCAATGGAGATTTGTATTGACGATATGTTAGTTAAGTCCCTGCGAGCAGAGGACCATTTGAAACATTTGCATGAAACCTTCGACATACTAAGAAAATACAACATGAAGCTGAATCCGAAGAAGTGTGCTTTTAGAGTCGGCTTGGGCAAGTTCCTCGATTTCATGGTATCTAACCAAGGAATAGATATCAACCCGGATATAATAAAGTCCATAGAAGATATCATCGTGGTTGACAAAGTCAAGGAGATACAAAGGCTGACCAGGCGGATAGACACATTGGGCTAGTTTATTTCCAGGTCATCGAATAAGAGCCACCAATTTTTTCGTTACTAAAGAAAAAGAACAACTTCTATTGGACCCCGGAGTGCAAAAAGGCTTTAGAAGAACTCAAAACAATACTTATCTAGTCATCCTTTGTTGCACACCCTAAAGGAGAACGAGCATATGTACTTTTACTTAGAGGTCTCCGAGGTAGTGGTAATTGGCGTCCTGGTTTGGGAAGAAGAAGGTACGTAGTTTCCTATCTATTATGTTAGTAGAACCCTGGGTGATAACGAGGTGTCCATATCTAGAGAAATTAGCGCTTTCCTTGAAAAGCGCATCTAGAAAACTAAAACCATACTTTCAATGTCACGCTATATATGTCGTGGCCTCGTATCCGCTAAGAAATGTTATTGATAAACCCTAGCTCTCAGGTCGGCTAGCAAAATGGGCCGTAGGGGTTAGCGGGTACGATATTGAATAAACCCCGAACAGCTATGAAGTCTCAGATTTTGGTAGGCTTCGTGGCCGATTTCACACCGAACTTGATCCCTAAGGTCAATAAAGAATTATTACTTGCCTTGGGGACTAGCTTGGGGGTCTGTACCATATTCACGGATGGCGCTACCAACGTAAAAGGGTCCGGGTTGGGAATCATTTAAAACCACCCATGGGTAATATAATAAGGCAGTCTATTAGAACTGTAAAATTGACTAACAATGAAGCCGAATATGAGGCTATGATTGCAGGTCTATAACTGGCTAAAAGCCTGGGGGTTGAGGTTATCGAAGCCAAGTGCGAATCCTCCTCGTTGTTAACCAAGTTAACGGGACGTTCGAAGTCAAAGAAGACCGATGCGGAGATACTTAGATAAATTACAAGTGGAGTTACATCTGTTCAGAGAATGGACATTAGAACATGTGCCCCGAGATCAGAATAGCCGAGGCCGCTGCTTTGGCTAACTTAAGATCGCCAGTCGACTCTGATGAATTTAATTCCAGAGCGGTGGTACAATTGATGGGAAATATGGTAGGGGAAGGTCATGCCGAGGTAAACTCAACGAGTTTGACTTGGGATTGGAGACACAAATACATAGACTACCTTCAGATGGAGAAATTACCATCGGATCCCAAAGAATCAAGGGCCTTTGGAACTAATGCTACCAGGTTCAGCTTAGTTGAAGGGAAACTAAAGATCATTTTTCGGATCGTTAGCAAGGTCCTTGGGTCCCAGGGAGACCAACATGATGAGGGAAGTTCACGAGGGTAATTGCGAACAAAGGACGAAATACACTCCATCTTTCATTCTCGGCTCACACTTGCCAATTCTTAGAGGCATTTTCTTTTCATTGGGCACTAGAGAGACTTAACATCACTCTTTCTTTATCATTTCGTTCTTTTATGTCCCCTTTTTTTTATCTCTTGATGCTTAGGATCATTATCTCTTTTTGAATCCATTCAACCCTTTCATTTATTCACGTTTTTGCTTTGGACTTTTCTTTTTTGGCCTTCTCTTCTCATAGAGATCATTTCTTTCTCTTTTTGTGCCTTGATACCTTTTTTCAACTTCCTCATCTCTCCCCCAAACTTACATTTTAAGCCATTTGTTTCACAAGAGTGTTAAGAAAATCTCGGGTGCCAAGAGAGGGTCACGACAAAACGGGTAATGGCTTGTAACATAGTTATCAAATAAGAAAGGCTAAAGGCTCGAAGGGGTTGACTAGGGATAACGACATTGGTTGGCAATAGAAAACTCAAACGGGCCAAGGAAAGCCTACAATCACTTCTCAAGCCAAGCAAAACTTAAGATTTCGCCTTAAAACACATTCAGGGCAAGTTCTAGACCCTTCGCACGGATACTTGGACTAGAGACAAATCATCTCACCCCTCAAGCAACTAGCTTGTAAAAGAGGATAGAGTCAAGGGCCCACAACGACCACACTAAAGATTAAAGATCACTATGGTCCAATTAAACCACTCGATGATTTCCAAAGTCAACACAAGAGTCACAAAGTCACTAACCAGAGCTATTTCCTTTTTTAAAACCTTGTATCTAACCATAAGCACGTAGTTAAGTGTGTTGGTGCCAAATGAAGCATGTTTGACTCTTCGAGCATGACTTAATTAGGTCTTTTTATTCACTACTACTACTATTATTACCTAAACACAAAACGAACTCATTCCCTTAAGAAGGTTGTCACACCATCGTTGGGATGAGTCACCCGGTTCACACAATAATTATCTTTGAAAAGAACCGTGGCATTAAGAAAATCAAAGGCTTATTATCTACTAAAACATAAAAAGAAGCTACTAAATCAAACACAAACTAATAAGGAAACAAACATAAAGAAGCTAAAAAGAAAAAACTATTGAAAGTATACAGAATATACATAATGAGAGAGAGAGAGAGAGAGAGAGAGAGAGAAGATATATACAAAATGAGAGAGAGAGAGAGAGAGAGAGAGAGAGAGAGAGAGAGAGAGAGAGAGAATATATATATACATGAATAAGAAAAGAAAGAGAATAAAATCAAGTTATTATAGGCCAAATGTCTCAGAATGTATCAAATATAATAAATAAACTCCATCCACCCCCCCTCCCCGTATAAAGATAAGCATTGTCCCCAATGCTTAACAAAATATGATTAAAAAAGGGGAAAGAGTGAAGAAAACTCCCTATGGCTCCTTGGACATCTCTGTGTCCCCAGCAATATCATCGACCTCCAGCTCAGCCAACTAGATCTCATCATCCTCAACTCTAGGTGTGGATGGGTTGGCGAACATCTGACGCACTGCCTCAGTGGTGTCGGCAGCAAGGTCTAGCTCATCAGATAGGCCAACTGGTGCTTCTAGTGCAGATGGGGCTGCGGGATCTAGTGTTGACTGGTGCGGGTCAAGGAACATGTCGAATGGAAGATCTCCGAATGTAGCAATTCTTTTCACTTCTCTTTAGAGCTTGTCCATTGACTTCTTGCTAGCCTGGGATTTCCTTATCTTCTTTACTTCCTTTCCCAACTCTTAGATTACTGACCCGTGCTATACCAAGGTAGCCATGATAGTGTTCTGGTTTTCTAGGAGCTTTTCAGTGTCTCTTCAATGGTTGGGGGAATCTGAGGTGCCTGAATAGAAGACTGCACTGCAGCAGTACTGGATAAGTTAGACAACTTTGCAATGGTTGTCTGCATCCAGTTGTTGAGGCTCGCCAATGTCTGGGAGACTCGCAACGCAGAAAGTAGGCCAGTAGGCATGGGCACCGGCTTCAAAGCCGAAATGGAAGCTGTAATAGGAACTGCAGTCGGGACTGTAGATGATGGTGGAGGCATGGATGCGGCACAGGAGGAAGGCTCGGCCGACGTGGATGGAACATCACCTGTCTCAACAACTACCACGGTTGGCTCATCAGATTGTCCTGTGGTGGTAGAAGGATGAGTTTTCCTTTCGGGTTGTTCGCATCCATAAGTGATTACCAAGAGAAAGGCTTCTTCAGCTTCACCTTTGTATCGAATTCCCTTGGCTCTACCCTCGCATCCGTAAGATACTCTGCAATGGTGTTGGGATACGGGTAGGAAGAGCCATATTGTCGCGCAATCACTAAGATGTTGGCCGACATCACAGCACCCACATTGATAGGTTACTCGGCCATAATAGAAGCAACCAAGACTGCTCGAGGAATCTGCAAGTGAGTCTCATTATGACTCGGGTCCAGTCTGCTGCAGACAAATGATTGCCACCCTTTTGCCTCGAAGCTAAAGTGTGCTCCGATGGGTAGGAACCCCAGCGGTAATCCATGGTGGTGGTGGTCTTGGTGCTGCTAAAATCTCTACTAACCAAGGACGGACTGCATCTCCAAGTGCACACTTCTCCAAATATTCTTTTGGCTTGACGTCATCAAATCTCAAGTATGTGTTGAGTGTGTGCTGATCAAATCGCACTTTGAGGTTACGCACTTTTGTCACATTTGTCTCC